TTGCTTCCTCAATTGGTCTTAATATGTCGCTATCTTCTGTTACGAACAGTCTATGAACATCGAGCTGTATTGGTTCATCTAAGTTATGTGGAATTTTTTCCTCTATTTTATATTTAGAATAAATGTTTATTAACCTGTCTCTGGTTTCCCAAAATACAGAGTTAACAATTCTTTTATGGTTTTCTGTTAATCTATGGCTATAGTTTATATATATAGTTCTGATATTCTCTAAACTATTAACTAATTTCAGTAAGTGTTTTCTCAGAGTTTCTGATCTGATAAACGTGTTTTTATTTATACACTTGTATGCCTTGTTAAAATTTTCTTTTTCTATTTTAAGAAATTCTTCGACTTGAGACCATTTATCCATAAGACTTAAAGAATTTTACTGATTGATTTATTATTTCTTTTTTATGAAAAAATTTTCCGAACTATTTCATTCGCATAGTTAATTATTCTATTGTGTTTTTTCAAATGATTGTCCAATTTCTGTTTAGTTTTGCAGCTTTTGCTACATACAAAACAATTAAAAGTTTTAATTTTGACAAATCTAAAAAATATTTATTTATTTTGAAAAATGTTGATTAACGTGTTGCCTATCTAACTATTTATATTTTTTCTAATACAGTAGCGATATTTGCAGTTTTCACAAAATTCTTCTTAAGAGATCTACGATGAGCCTTATATAATTTAAGAGCTAAGTTTGCAGTGAGCAAAATAATTATTATTACGAAAAATTTTGTTGGATCGTAAGATTCTCTTCTATCAACTTCTATTTCGTTTACTACATTAGCTACAGGTTTATTTATTTTCGATTGAGGGCTCCCCATTATAAAATAAGAAACAACAAGGAAAAAAAAAATATCAACAGTAGAGAGACAAGAAAAAAAATCAAAGAAATACCGTAGTGATTAAACAATTAAAAAAAAATTTTTTTTTTTTTACATTCAAAACATACTTTATAATAGTTATAATTTTTAATGCAAAATATGTAATACATATATATATAATTTTTAAATTAAAAATTTATTTAAAAAAATTTTTTTTTATTTATGTATTAAAACAATTTTAAATAATCAAATTAAGATAATTATACATAAAATTTACATTAGCTGTGTTTCAGCAAACATGATCCGCTCAATGATCTGAATCATCTTTGCTGAAACGATACGGATCACGTTTGAAAATAATTGGCAACGCATGAAATATGACAGTTGGGTTTGTGTACAAAATTTTTTGATTTGTGTGAATAATTTTGGTGCTAAAAAAATAAGTGAGAAAATTTTGAATACAAAAAATCTAAAAAATGGAAAATAAATAAAATCTGTTGAAATGTCTGAAGTATTTACTTAAAAACTTAAATTTAATTCTATAGTTAATAAATGAAAATTGCATATGTTATTAGAATCATCGAGCGAAACTGACTCTTCCATTCCCTTTTTACTAGTTCAAGTGTATGGTATTAAGCTCAAGGGATGAAGTGTATCAGCATAGATATAGTGGAAGTTTTGTGGAAACGATCAATAATTTTTTCGTTAAAAATTATTTGATTGGTATTTGCGCATAAAAAATACAATTGCTATATATTAATTATGTTTCATATTTTAATAGATTTGTTAATAAAATTCAATCAGCAAATACAAAATAACCGTGGTGGTTACAATTGAACGAGAGCAATGAAGGAAATTTACATATTTTTGTGGTATATGGCAAATATAAATACTTTTCGCGAATTTGGTATTTGTTTTGGCATATCAAAAGCTTCTGTATGGAGAATAATTGAAAGAACTAGCGCTCTTTTCTTATGACAGCGACGTAACTCTACTACTTTTAATTACTTTTGCGCCACTGTCATACCTACTTTCCTACATTCGGCTATCCTGACGTCATTCGTCCCGGATGACCCCTTAAACGCTTTCATATGTTCTGCTACTGTTTCACATTTCTTTGACTGTTCGCCATTTCCGACTCTCTCAACTACATATCTACCTCGTCTTTTCTTTTCTACTATTCGATACGGTCCTAAATATTTCTGTTTTAATTTGAGTCCTGTTCCGTATTGGGTACGTTTGATGACAACTAAACCGTCTATTTCATAATTAACTTCTTCTTTCCTACCCTTGTTATATGTATTCCTGTTTTCTTCAGCTATTTTCTGTAAATTTTCTTTTGCTTGTTCACGCATTTCATTTCTTCCCTCAAATAACTCTTCCATTACACATTCTGTGATTAACGACCCTAATGCAACATTAGTTTTTATACGCATCTCCACCCCTGTCAAAATTTTAAATGGAGAATACTGAGTACTCCGAGCTGGAGTGCTATTGATAGCTTGTTGTACCCTTTCTACGTGTTTGTACCAACTTTCTGGCGAGTTCACACATAATTTACTGAGCATTGTAATAACTGTTCTATGTATTCTTTCTACCTGGCCGTTTCCCCGCGGAACGCCTGTGGCTATTAATAGGTGTTTGATCCCTTCGTTCGTACAATACTCTTTGAACCTGCTTGCTGTGAACGCAGTGCCTCGGTCACTGATAATCACAGCAGGATTTCCGAAAACCATCGATATTTATTTAATCTTTCGATTACCTCTTCTACTCCCACACTTTTAGTGGGGTATAACCACACAAACTTGGAAAATGAGTCTACTACTGTCAAAATATAGTTGTATTTTTTTTTAGTCTGATCTAACGGTCCTACATGATCGATATGATACGTTTCCAATGGTCTATTACCTTTATCTATAGGATTAAGAAATCCCTCTTTTTTTCCTGATTTACTTTTCACTACTAAACATTCGATACACCCTCTTACTACTTTGTCTACTTTTGGACTTATATTTGATATGTAATATTTTTTTTCAACAATGAGTTTTCTTTGACCCAAAGTGGTCCTGACGATGAGCGATCTCAATTATTTCGTTTTCCATAGAGGAAGGAATAACCATCCGTTCTTTAACATTATCTTTGAATAATACATCGTGTTTTAAGTAAAAATCGCCATAATTTTGAGTTTCCAAAATTTTTCGCACAGCTTTCGTCCAGTCATCGCTTAATTGCGCATTCCTTATTCTATGGCACAACGAATCTTCCAGCAACAGACAATAAACGCGGCTTAGTGCATCGACATGTTTCATGTTAGTGCCCATTCTATGCTCTATTTCGTAATCAAAATCTTGTAAGAATAGAGCCCATCTTGCTACTCTAGTAGGTACATCATCTTTTTTCAATGTACACGCGAAGGCCTTACAATCGGTAACGATTTTAAATTTGATGCCAAGCAGAAAGTATCTCCACTTTTTTAAACTTTCTATAATTGCTAATACCTCCAGTTCATATGAATGATATCTTCGTTCCGTTAGTGAGGTTTTCCAGCTTAGAAATTCAACAGGATGTAACTGGGATTTTTCACCCCACTGCAGCAAAATAGCCCCATATCCATCGTTACATGCGTCCGTATGTACATCTGTTTTTGCTTTTGGATCAAATAACTTAATTATCGGAGCGGAAATTAAATCTGTTTTCAATTGCTGAGCAGCCAATTTTTGCTCGTCTTTTATCTCGAATTTTACGTTTTTTCGTAACAAATCACTTAATGGTTTGGCAATTACAGCATAATTATACACAAATTTTCTAAAATATGATGTTAATCCCAAAAATCGTTGAATTTCTTTGTTATCTCTTGGCATTGGAAAATTTCTAACAGCTTTTAGCTTTTCCTCGTTTGGTTTTATGCTCGAGTTTTCAATGATAAAACCTAAAAAGTTAACCTTATTCTTTAAAATCTGACACTTCTCCCATTTAATGTGTAACTCGAAATTTTGAGCAACCTCCAACACTTCTACTAATCGTCTCATTCTTTCTTCTTCATTTTGGGATGTGTTGTGTCAACCTGGTTTTCACCTTGTGTCTTCTAATGCCCTCCATGGCACGGTGGCAAGCCCGGAATTCTCGCCGGTATTGGGGTTGGGTCTTGGCATCAGTAATCCATACTGACATCAACAAAAAATTCTCGTGCCATGTATTTGTATAAACAAAATTTAGTTAAATCTAAACTGT